TTTGGGGAGCCGGGACACCGGGGGTCCCGGCCCGTCCGCCCCGGTGGGGTGCTCGGCTCCGGGTCGGAGCCTGGCAGCCACGGCGTGCGGGTGCTTTGGGGTGTCAGGGCAGCCCCGGGACAACACGGGGGGGGCTCCGGGGGCGGCCGGCCAGGCTCCCAGCCCTGCAGCGGGACCCTCGCGTGGCGCAGGGGCACCGTCGGGGTTTTGGTCCTGTGCCCCTGTCCTGCCGGCGGGAGCGGAGAGCCGCCGTCCGTCCCCGCACAGCGTGGGCCCCCTCCCTGCCCTACAAGCCCCCCAGCCCGGCGAGCCAACATCCCCCCCCAGGCTGGGCTGGGTCAGAGGGGGCCACAAAGCCCCCATGGCACGTGCCCGTCACCTCTAGCACCCTGCAGCCCTCCAGCAGAGCCCCCCAGGCTGGGGCTGCCGGCAGGGACCCCTCAACTGGGAGGACTCTGCTGGTGGCCAAACCCCCAGCACCCCGACGGTGGGGAGCAACCGTGGGGCCGGTGCTCAGCACCCGACAGGGTTCATGCTCCGCTGGGGCGGGACAGCTGGCACGGCATGGCACAGCGTGGCACGGCACAGAGCGCTGCCTGCCTCGCCGGCGCCGTGTCGCAGGGCGGGACGGGACGGCACGTGCCGTTGTCATCCCGCGGTGCCTGTGCCGCGTTTTGCCAGCGCTGTTGGCAGTTGCTGCGAGGAAGGGCCGGGGCTGCCGGGGCAGCGCGGGGTGAGAGGTCTGCACTGAAGGCTGCGGCAGAAAAGGGGGATCAGCTGTTCCGCATCTCTGGGGACAGCGTCGGTCACGGCCGGCTGCAGGCAGGGATGCGGCCGAGCGGCCGACCACTCCCTCTGCCCCCAGGTCCCCCAAGGATGTGGCTGCTCTGGCTCGCCTGGGTGCTGCCCGTGCTGGGCATCGCAGCCAGCTCCAGCCCCAGCCCCAACCCCACCGCACCACCCCTGGACCAGGCCTCCATCTTCGCCGACCTGACTCCGGCGGAGCTGCGGGCTGTGCGGACCTTCCTGATGAGCCGCCCGGAGCTGGGGCTGTCCCCGAGCCGCAGGGGTCCCCTGGCCAAGAACACCCTCTTCCTGGTGGAGCTGCTGCCCCCCAAAAAGCGGCTGGCCCTGCACTACCTGGACCGGGGCGGCCCCCGGCCACAGCGCCAGGCTCGGGCCGTCATCTTCTTCGGGGCGCAGGCAGAGCCCAACGTCACCGAATTCGCCGTGGGACCCCTGCCCCGGCCCAGCTCCTACCGGCCGCTGCGCTTCAAGGGGGGCCGCGCCGTCCCCTTCACCGCCCGGCCCATGACCCAGCTGGAGTACGAGCTGCTGCACCGCACGCTGGCGGAGGCAATGGAGCCGCTCTACCGGCTGCTGCGCGACTCCACCGGCTTCTGGTACCACAACTGCTCCCGGCACTGCCTGACCTTCTCGGACATCGCGCCGCGGGGGCTGGCGTCTGGCGAGCGCCGCAGCTGGCTGATTCTGCAGCGCTTCGTGGAGGGCTTCTTCCTGCACCCAGTGGGGCTGGAGGTGCTGGTGGACCACCGGGACCCCGACCCGCGGCGCTGGGCGGTGCAGCGGCTCTGGTACAACGGGCAGTACTTCTCCAGCCCGCAGGAGCTGGCCGAGCAGTACGAGCGGGGGACGCTGGCGGTGGCCCGCCTGGCCGAGCCCCCGTTCCAGCAGCTCTTCTCCAGCTATGAACCCCGCGGGCGCTTCACCACCGGCACCCCCACCGAGGTGCATGGGGCCAAGGTGTGCGAGCCGCAGGGCCAGCGGTACCGGCTGCGGGGCAACCAGCTGGAGTACGGGGGCTGGAGCCTGGCTTTCCGCCTGCGCTCCTCCGCCGGCCTCCAGCTCTTCGACCTGCGCTTCAACGGGGAGCGCCTGGCCTACGAGGTGAGCGTGCAGGAGGCCATCGCCTTCTACGGGGGCCACACGCCGGCCGCCATGCAGACCAAGTACATGGACGCCGGCTGGGGCATGGGCTCCGTCACCTACGAGCTGGCCCGCGGCATCGACTGCCCTGACACGGCCACCTACCTGGACGCCCACCACTTCTACGACGCCGACGGGCCGGTGCGCTTCTCCCATGCCATCTGCATCTTCGAGCTGCCCACCGGCGTCCCGCTCCGCCGCCACTTCGACAGCGACTTCCAGGGGGGGTTCCACTTCTACGCCGGCCTGGAGGGGCAGGCGCTGGTCCTGCGCACCACCTCCACCGTCTACAACTACGACTACATCTGGGACTTCCTCCTCTACCCCAACGGCGTGATGGAGGCCAAGGTCCACGCCACCGGCTTCATCCACGCCACCTTCTACACGCCGCAGGGCCGGCGCTACGGCAGCCGCGTCCACAGCCATGTCCTGGGCAACCTCCACACCCACCTGGTGCACTACAAGGTGGACCTGGACATCGCAGGTGCGGCCCCCCGCCGCCCCCCGGCCGGCCCCTCCGGCTCCGGGGAGGGTGCTGGGAGGTGGCACCAGACCCCACATGGAGTTCCAGGGGCTCGGGAGCCTCATCCCCAGGGCACCGTTGCCGCCCGGACCCTCTTGAAGATGACCCCCCCCACCCAGGGTGGTGTCGCTAGGGGGTCCCAGCCCCTTGCCCCGGGTGGGCTGCCGTCTGTGGGCTGCCGGTGCGCCCCGGGCTCCGCTGCCGCTCACGGCCTCTCTGCTTGCAGGCACCGGCAACAGCTTCGAGACGATGGACGTGCGCTTTGAGAACATCTCCAACCCCTGGAGCCCAGGCGCCCGCGTGGTGCAGCCGTGGCTGCACCGGCAGCCCCGCCGCAGCGAGCGCCAGGCTGCCTTCCCCTTCGGCAAGGCGCTGCCGCGCTACCTGCTCTTCTACAACCCGCACCGGCACAACCGCTGGGGCCACCCGCGCAGCTACCGCATCCAGCACAGCTCCCACGCCGGGCGGGTGCTGCCGCATGGCTGGCAGGAGGAGAAGGGCATCTCCTGGGGCAGGTGGGGTGGGGGGGTCCCCGCAGCACCAGAACATGGCTCCTGCCGGTCCCGGTGGGCTCCGGCTCGGCCAGCCCCGCTGTCTTTGTGCTGAGCCACGAGCGTTGCCCGGCCGCCATGGTCACGGCCCGGGGACCTTCCCTGACGGCATCTTGTGCCCTCAGCTCCCTGTCCCCACCCCGGCAGCCCCTCTGCAGGCTGAGCTGGTCACGGTCACGGCCACCGCCATCCCTGGCTGCCGGGTGACCCCCAAAGAGACCCCCCATTCCTTCCATGCTACCAGGAGCAGGTGGTGGCATCTGCCCAAGGGGCACCAAGGTCCCAGATATGAGCACCCCGGCTGAGGGGGACCCCGGCCCCCCCCCCCAGCCTAGTACAGTAAGGATGCAGCCGGTGGCCTCACCAGTGCAGACTGCCATGCCGAGCCCCCCCGGAACTGGGGAGCCGTCCAGGATCCCTCGCTGCGTGGCTGGGCAGCACGTGGCACAGCTGGTGGAGCCTGGGCAGGGGTGGGAGATGGGTCATCCCCCCACCCTGGCACCCACACAACGTGGGTCTGCTCCTTGCCCCTGGCAATGGGCCTGATCCTGCCCCTGTCCCTTGCAGGTATCACCTGGCCGTGACGCGGCACCACGAGAACGAGCCCACCAGCAGCAGCATCTATGCCCAGAACGACCCCTGGGAGCCCCTGGTCAGCTTCGAGGGCTTCCTCCGCAACAACGAGACCATCGAGGACCAGGTGACAGCTCGGCGTCATGGGGTGGCAGGGACGGAGCCGGGCAGGGGGGCTGCCAGGAGCCGCCGGCGCTCGTGGCGGGGTCCGCCGTGCCGCGTGCCCCGCTGACGGCCGCGGTCCCCTCCGCGCAGGACCTGGTGGCCTGGGTGACCGTCGGCTTCCTGCACGTCCCGCACGCCGAGGACATCCCCAACACGGCCACCCCCGGCAACGCCGTCGGCTTCTTCCTGCGCCCCTTCAACTTCTTTGACGAGGACCCCTCAGTGGCCTCGCGCAGCCCCGTCATCATCCGGCCGCTGGACCCCCCCACCTTCTCCCAGCTGGAGATCCAGCGCTGGACGCCTGCCAGCCCCGGCCCCTGCGTCGCCCCGGGGCCCTTCACCTACAACGGCACCTACCGGCAGGAGTGACCTGCCCCGGGGCTGGCGGGGACGCCGGGCACCCTGTGCCAGGGAGGACAGGGGTGGCGGTAGGGACGCCAAGGTGTGGGCCGTGCCGTGCCGTGTCCCAGGCTCAGTAAAGACAATGCCACCTCCTCCAGCCCCGTCTCTGCCTGGGCCGTGTGGCAGCCCTGGCACCGCCACAGGCACTGGAGCCGGCACGGACACGGTGAGCGCCCTGCCCTGCTGATCGGCTGTTGCAATATTTAATTATGCCACCATTCAAGGTTGCTCCCCCCCCACTCTGCACCCTTCCCCTGGCCTTTGCACCCCCCTGGGCCGCAGCCCACATGGGATGGGTCCTGGCATCGCCCCCCCACGCCCCATGGGAGGATGTCCCCGTCCCTTCCCTCCTGTGGGGTCTCGTCCCCCCTCCCCATGGCACCATCCCGGGAACCACCGTGGTGGCACAGCTCTGCCGTGGCCCCGTCCCGCAGCGCAGCCGCACACAGAGCCGGGGTGTCTGTCCGGTTTATTGGGGAGGGGGCAGGCGGGGGGCACCTACCGCAGAAGGCGACATGCAGGGCTGTGTTAAACGGCAGGTCGGGCACACGCGGTGCCCAGCTACGGGATGACGGCACGAACACGGCACACGCTACCAGGAGCTGGCGGGCGAGCGGTTGGGTGGGCGGGAGCCCCACGGCCCCCAGCCCTACCCGTGCCCCCTCCCCACCGGGGCATCCCCCTCCCTGTGCGTGGGGTGGCACCGGGGGCTGGGATGTTGCTGGGGGGCTGTACCCCCCTGCCCCGTGCCACCAGCTATGTGGGGAGAGCGGCCGAGGGGGCCCCCAGGCTGGGGGGATCTGGGGGAACTGGGGGGCACCAGTGGCTGGCAAGGGGGGCACCCCCCGGACACACAGTGCTGCCCCACGGGCACACCGACATCGCCGCCGGCAGGGCCACCCACAACCGGGACAAGGACAGGGACACAGCTTGGGCGGGCACCCGCCACGCACTCCGCCCCGCGCTGCGGCTCAGCGCACACGGGTGTGCACACGCACACACACATGTGCCACGGCGGGCGGGAACCATGGCTGGGGTGAACATACATACACAGGCACACATGGGCATAGCCTGTCTGTCCCGAGAGAGCAGCCTGGGGGTCCTGGCTCAGCAGGAGCCCCCCCAGGACACACACAGCGTCCCGGGGCGCCGGACACGAGTACACACACACACACACACGTGCGTGTGCACACACACGCACACACACACGCACGGACAGGGCGAGTGCAGGCAGGCAGACCCGCAGCACATGGAGACACACGTGACACGCACACACACGCATGCACACCCCTGCGCAGCCCCCCCCACGCTCCCCCCGCCACGCTGCCAGCCCCGGCGTCCCTGGAGAGGGGGGGCTCTGGCCGTGGGGCAGCATGGCCCCGGCCGGCCAGGGGTCTGGCTGGGGAAGGGGCTGCAGCACTACAAGGAGGAAGAGGATGAGGAGGAGGAAGGGGAGGCGAAAAGCAGCACACGTTTGACAGTCCTGCCAGCCGAGCCCTGGAAGCGCCAGCACGGTGGCAGGGCGGGGGGCCTGGCCCCCCGGGTTAGGCCAGCTAACGTGGGGGTGCCAAGGGGCTCCTGCCGCTCCCCCCCCGCAAGCTGCCGGCGGCGGGAGGGATTGTCCATGGGGGACGGCGGCCTGGAGCCCACTGGCCCAGCCAGCGTCCTGGGGACGGGGGTCCCACGTCCCATCACGCCAGGGGGTCCCGGCCCCGTCCCTGCCCTGCCCATTAACTCCCGGGGTCAGAGCAGTGTCTATGGAGGGTCTGTGTGTCCGGCGCGCCGGCCAGCTGTCCGGGCAGGGAGAGGCGTCGCGGCGGGGCGGCCGCCGGCTCCACCAGCAGCACCACGTCTGGCGGCGGGGGCGGCTCATTGCGGGGGTCCGGGGCATGTGGCAGCTCCAGCGGCACCGGATAGCTGGGAACCTGCGGGAAGAAGGGCAGCCAGCATCACCGCCACGCCAGGGGCAGCCGGGGATGGGACAAGGGGCTCAGTGTGCCACCCACCTGGTTCCGGGCTGCACTGGGTGGCACAGGAGGGGGGCTGCCCCAAGCTTGGGGGGCTCAGGACTGACCCCAACCCTCGCTGGGGCTGGAGAATGGGGTGATGGGGCACAGGAGGGGTCTGCCCCAAGTCTGGAGGCTCAGGAGCGACCCCAGCCTGCAGTGGGGCTGGAGGATGGGGAGCTGGGCTACCCCCAAACCTGGGGGGGCTCAGGAGTGACCCCAACCCACAGTGGGGCTGGAAGACAGGGCAATGGGGCATGGGAGAGGGACTGCCCCAAACTTGGGGGTCTGGGGAGCAGGCTGGGCTCACCTGAGAGAGCGGCTGAATGGGGGTGATGGGGAGGACAGGTTGCAGGGGACACGGGGGGCCGGGGGGCTGGTGGGGGGACGAGACCGTGCTGTAGGCGGGCGGCACCAGCGCGGCCTGACGCTGCAGCAGCTGCATGATGGAGCTGATGTCCGCAGCCATGCGGGTCTCCAGCCTGCTGACAGACACGCGTCGGGGTGTGTGCAGGGCACTGCACGCTGCAGGGCAGCACGACCCCATGGGAGCCCCCCATTCGCCCGTTGGGGGCGATTGGGGGGCTCCCATGGGGTCGTGCTGCCCCTGCTAAGCCCCCCCTGCCCTCCCCAGGTACCTGTTAAGCTGCTTCTGGAGCAGGTCAAGGCGCGTCTCCACCTCGGAGCGCTGGCGGCGGCTCATGGACGGCAGTGGGATACTGAGGGCGGCGTGAGCCGGGATGGTGCAGCGAGGCAGCTCCTGGTACTGCCGCCCCCGGCTCTCCCCCCAGAAACTGAAGATGTTGGAGACCCCCGAGAAGGCTCCTGTAAAGGCAAGGAGGGAAAACATCAGTGTCCTTAGGGTGTCCCAGCAGGCATGGAGCAGGGATGCAAAGGGAATGCACCCCAGCAGGCATGGAGCAGGGATGCATCCCAGCAGGCACGGAACAGGGATGCAAAGGGAATGCATCCCAGCAGGCACGGAACAGGGATGCAAAGGGAATGCATCCCAGCAGGCATGGAGCAGGGATGCAAAGGGAATGCATCCCAGCAGGCACGGAACAGGGATGCAAAGGGAATGCATCCCAGCAGGCACGGAGCAGGGATGCACCCCAGCAGGCATGGAGGCTCCCCCCAAACGGCATGGGGATGCAAAAGCAGAGAGGGTGCAGGGGCAGAGGCTGCAGGGGACGGTGCAGAACACGGGATAGGGATCTGGGGGGCAGGTGGAGCAATGGGGATGGGGGTTCAGGAGCTGCTGGGGGGGTTCTGCAGAACCCTGACCAGGGAGGAGAGGAATGGGGGACCCTGCCACCCCATCCCGAGCCCCTTCATCCCCATCCCCACCTGAGAGGGGGTTGCACATGTCGCCACCCTTGCGCTCCTCGGCCTCGGCAGGTGCAGGCGCCTCACTGCCCAGGCGGGCGCTGCGGAAGGGGGAGAGCGCGGTGGCCCCCGGTCCGGGCGCGGGGGGCTCATCCTCATCGCTGGAGGGGGAGCTGGAGGGGGAGCTGGAATGGCAGGGCTCCCACTCGGCCGGCCCGCGCGGTGCCCCGGGTGCCTGGCAGCTCCTGCCCGGCCGCAGCGCCTTCTGCCCGCTCCGCAGCTCCCCGGCGTTGGCAGCATCTGCGGGGGGACAGGTCCTGGGTCACCACGGCCCCTTGGGGCCTGGACCCCCCACAGCCCCAGACCCCCGACCTCCCCTTTCTCCGTGCGCCGGCGGAAGGAGAGCTTGCGCTTGCGCAGGCGGTTGAAGCCTCTGTCCAGTTCGTCGCTGCCCGGGGAGCCGGGGATCATGTTGGTCTGCGGGGAGAGGGGGGATGAGACTGGGGGGGCTACCAGATCCCGCACTCCAAGCTGGCAGGGACTGGGGGCAGCAGGGAGCTGCATGGGCAGCATGTGGTGCCAGTGTCAGGGCGATGTTGGGGGGCTTTTGGTGCAGTGCCCTCCCACCCAGCCAGACGATGCTGGGGGGCATCCCATGGTGACTGTCCCTCGTCCCTGAGTATCCCCTGTGCCCAGCCCCCCTAGCTTGCTCGGGACCCTCCCCAGGCTCAGCAGAACGGGTGTTTCCCCGCAGTCCAGGCTCCCCCCGCCCCAGCCCATGCCCCCCACCGCAGCCCCTCACATCGCGCAGGTTGAAGGTGATCTCCAGGCTGGACCAGAAGTGGTCGGAGAACTCGGGGTACATGTCCAGCACCTCCAGCAGGTCCTCGCGGTGGATCTTGTGCAAGTCGCAGTAGGTCAGCGCCCGCACGTCCGCATTGGACTTCCCCGGCCGCGCGTACAGGTTCAGCGGCTCCCCAAAGATGTCGTTCTTCCCTGGTGGGGGGGGGCAGCAGCGTGAGAAGGAGGTGTCAGCCCATGGGGCACGGCGGCAGGGCCCCGGCTGCCCGCTGCGCCCAAGGCTGGAGGGGTCCCATCGCCCCCAGCCCCGGCGCTGGGTCCCTGGGGAGCTCACCCAGGATGGCCACCACCACGTCCCCGCGCAGGATCTCGATGGAGCCGCGGGAGATGAAGTAGAGGGCGGTGAGGACATCCCCAGCGTGCACCAGCGTGTCCCCGGGGGGAGCGTGCGTGGTCTTGAACTTCATGGCCAGGGCGCGCAGGCAGCCCTTGGTGGCCCCCTTGAAGGGCTTGCAGTTCTGCAGCAGGCTGCGGTTGAGGTGCAGGCAGATGTCTGCCTGCAGGCACTCGGGGAAGCCCTTCAGCACCTGCGGGACACGGCGGGGGGGGGTGTCACGGCACTGGGGGAACTGGGGGGACCGCAGAGGGGGCCGTGCTGCCAGCTGGCTGCTCACCGCGTTCATGTCGATGCCGTTGGTGTAGGACCAGGCGTGCTGGAAGTATTCCTCCAGGCGCTGGCGCAGCGGGTTGGGGATCTGGTGGAAGCGGATGAACTCGCGGACACGCAGCATCTGGGTGTGGTAGCGCGCGGTGCCCGAGTACAGGCGCTGGATGATGGCCGACACGTTCCCGAAGATGCTGGCGTACATCAGGGCTGCAGCGGGGCGAGCGGGGTGAGGGGGGGGCCCCTGGCACCGCTCCCCCCGGACCTCCCCCACCACAGGGGCTGAGGGTGCGGGGCACCAACCTCCGCTGGCACGACCACCCCCCCTGCCGTGGGTAGCCCTGCACGCGTGTGTGAGCACACCCCCAGCCCCGCCGTGCATCCGTCGTACCCCCTCCTCCAGCCTGGCAGGCACGGAGGGGTCCCGCTGGGCTCCCCCCAGAAATGGGGCTTCTGCGCCCACACTCACCATCGCGCGCACACACACGGGCCCGCGGGAGCACAGCGAGCTCGTGGAGCCGTGCGTGACTGGCCCATGCGCATCCAGAGCTGCCTCATGGGCGTGCTCCGGCTCGTCGCACGCTCACACGCGCACAAGCACAGCGGTGTGTGCTCACACACATGCATGCTCCCACCCACATGCATGTGCATGTTCTATCACACACATACATGCCCACACACACGTGCATGCTCACACACGTGCTTCACGGGCACACATGCCCACTCATGCATGCTCACACACACACACGCACATTCTCACACACATGCATGCTCACACATACATGCTGACACTCACATGCATACTCCTCCACACACATGCATGCTCACACATACATGCTGACACTTGCATGCATACTCCTCCACACACATGCATGCTCACACACACACACATGCACTTACACATGGTTGCTCACACATGTATGCTCACACAGATGCATGCCCACACACACACGCATGCTCACACACACGTACACCCACACACATGCACACATGTCCATACATGCACATGCATGTTCACACACACCCCTACACATATGCACACTTGCACACATGCATGCTCTCACACACATGCACACTCCCACGGTTGCTCACACATACACGTATGCTCACACAGACACATGCATGCCCACACACATACACGCATGCTCACACACACACATACACCCACAGACATGCACACATGCCCACACGTGCACATGCATGCTCACACATACATGTATGCCTGCACACATGCATGTGCACACACAAATATGCTCACAGACACATGCATGCCCACACACACGTGCACACTCGCACACATATGCTCACATGCAGACCTGTGCACGCGCACACACACACACTCACGCCCATGCCCAGGCTCGCACACAGACCCATGCGGGCGCCCTCCGCACCGGCGGGGGCCGAGCGGGACCCCCCACACACATCCCCCAGCGAGCCCCCGCATCGGGCACACGCCGGGGGCACTCACAGCCGATGAGCATGACGCAGATGGAGAAGATCTTCTCGGAGTTGGTGTTGGGGGAGACGTTGCCGAAGCCAACGCTGGTCAGGCTGCTGAAGGTGAAGTAGAGTGCGGTGACGTACTTGTCCTTGATGGTGGGGCCGTAGAGGGGGTTGCTGGCGTTGAGGGGCTTGCCGATCTGGTCGCCCAGGGAGTGGAGCCAGCCGATGCGCTGCCCCTCCACGTTGCCGATGGCGTACCAGATGCAGGCCAGCCAGTGGGCGATGAGGGCGAAGGTGCACATCAGGAGGAAGAGCACGGCCGCCCCGTACTCTGAGTAGCGGTCCAGCTTGCGGGCCACCCGCACCAGGCGCAGCAGCCGTGCCGTCTTCAGCAGCCCAATCAGGGTGGTGGTCTGCAGGGGAGGGGGCCGGGCGGGGGTCACCGAGGGCTGGGGAACCCCGGTCTCCCCGCAGGCAAGGGCGGCCCTGCCCAACCCCCCGGCAGAGACCCCCCCCCAAAAGCGCAGGACCAGGCAGAGTGGGCAGCAGCCAAGCCCAGCCCTCCCAGTGCTCCCCTCCGCTGCCGCACTGGCCCCCGGTTTGGGCACCCCCAGCCCCACCGGAGCAGGGTAGCAGGGCCCATCCTGCCCCAGGACCCCATGCACGCCCCAGCCCCTCGCCCCGCTTCAGGCTCAGGTGCCCCCAGTGCTGCCCCCGGAGCAAAGACCCACCACAGTACCGTGGGCACCCAGCCCTGGGGCACGTGTGGGACCCCCGGGCATCACCCTGCGGGAGGACCTGGCACTGAAATATCACCCAGCACGGCACCGCGGCACCCCAGCGGGGCGGCAGGTACCTCCTCAGAGCCGGAGCCGAAGATGAGCAGGTCAAAGGGGATGGCGGCGACCATGTCGATGAGGAACCAGCCCTTGAAGTAGTGGATGGCGATCTTGGCGGGGTGGCTGACCACCTCCTCGTTGGAGTTGACGTAGGTGGTGCGGAAGTTGATGAGGATGTCGATGATGAACATGATGTCCACGATGAGGTCGACCACGTTGAGGGGGCTGCAGGAGTAGCCACAGTTGTGGCGCTGGGCCTCCTCTTGGTCGTTGAGCAGGAAGGCGGCCGAGTAAGGGGTGAAAATGGCCGTGTAGATGACCAGCAGCAGGATGAGCCAGTCCCACACCGCCTTGAAGGGGCTGTAGTGCAGGATGGTCCATTTGTGGATGCGCGGCGCCTGCAGCTTGTACTCCGGGAGGACGTCGGCGCCCAGCGACAGCACCTGGGCGGGCGGGCGGGGGGTCAGCTCCTGCACCCCCTCCGCCGCCCCGTGGGGCTGAGCCCCCCAGCCCCCCGTCCCCAAGCAGGGGCTGTCCCCGCCAGCCGCAGGCAGGGCATCCCTGGGCTGGGGGCTGCTCCGGCGGGTCTCGTCTGCCCGAGGATGCTCTGGGGCATGGTGGGACCCTGGAGCTGGCGATGAGGGGTGCGGGGGGGACGGCTGGCGGGCACGGCTGGGAAGAAGCTGCCCCACACGGCAGAGCTGCCCCACGAGCCCCCTCCTGCCCCACAGACGCCACCGGGGTGCAGTTCCCACTGCGAACACTCGCACCCCCCCAGCACAGACACACCGCTGCCCTCGGCCAAGGCGCTTCCCCGCATCCCCCCCTGCCCGTGCTGCCCCCAAAGCGGCAGCAGCCACCCCAGAGCTCTGCCCCGGCTCCCCGGCAGTGCTGAGCTCTGCCCCAGCGGGACCCCGGCGCAGCTGCTGCCAAACCAGGGCCGGCAGCCCCGGAGGCACATGGGGACGCAGCTGGGGGCTGGCACGGGCCCCCCGGCCTGTCCCTGTGCCAGGCCAGCCGGGCACAAGTGCCACGGAGCCCCCGCCGCCCCCACGCACCGTGGGGCTGGGTTTGTGTGGGGCCGGGGTCTGCTCCCAGCCGGGTCCCTGCTCTGCTCAGGGAGTGGGACCCCAGCAGCGGGCACAGTGGGGCGCAGCGGGGGGCAGCAAGCTCGACTCTGCCTGCTGAAAGTGACATCCCCCCCCCGGCAGCACCCATGGAAATGAGGGCTGGCATGCAAAGGCAGCTGCAGGGTGTTTACATATGGGGGGGCTCAGCCCCTCCAGGTGCTGCCTTGGCTGTCCCCAGGCATCTCCCAGCCCCCAGCACTGACACCCTCCCCCCCCCGCATCCCACAGGGCTGCTGCTCACCCCCACCCTGTCACGCACACGTGTGTGCACCCACACGTGTGCAGACACGCACACACATGTGCCCGCACACACTCACACACACAGCCTGAGCGTGAGAGTCCAGGGGGCACGGCCGTGCCCCGGCAGCTGCGCCCGTCCGTCCCGGCCGCCTGGCACGGGGATTAGATGTACTGGCCGCGGGATGGAGGGCACTGGCTATAAATAGGGACCGGGCGAGCTGGTGCCATGGGGCAGAGGGGCCCTGTGGTGGGGAGAAGGTGCCAAGGCCGGGCAGCCCCACAGCGCAGAGCCAGGCTGGGCACGGCACCGGCCCCACGGCACCCACTCAGAGCAGCTGCGGGGCTCGGTCAGCCCCGGGGCTGGTGGCCACCGGCCACCTCCAGCAGCTCCACACGGAGCCCCAGCTACCGGAGGGCAGGGACGGGAGCCGGGGCGATGCCAACCGCAGAGCACCGCGCAGCAGGACACCCGGCACAGCCCTGCCCGGCCAAGGGGGCACAGCCTGGGAGCACAACCCTGGAGGTCCCAGCGGGGGTCCCTCCCCACGCTGCCCCCGCACCGCCACCGAGGGGGCCGTCACCCTGCGCAGCCTCAAGGCGCGCGTGAGATGCTCCAGGACTGACCCGCAGCCCCTGCCCACTGCCCCACCACGGCCAGGGCCCACGGCCCCCGCGCCCACCCGGGACATGCCGAGCCACCCATGCCCGGCGGCGGCAGAGCTCCTACCCGCCGGCCGCACCACGGCAGCTGCGCCACGAGAGCAAGAGAGCGCGATGGGGGCACAGCCACCCCTGGGCCCCATCCAGCCCCCCAGCCCCGCGGGGTGCATGGCTGTCGGGGGGGGCTGGGAAGGGCTCCCCAGGCTGTGCCGCCCGTGGGGGCTGTGGGCGCGTGCCGAGCCGGGGGCAGAGTGAGAGGCGGCTTTACATAACCACCCCAAACCCGGAGCCGGTGGCAGCCTGGGGGGACAGAGCCCAAGCCCAGCTGTGGCCACCGCCAGGACATGGGACCCCCGGGGTGGGTACGGCATCCGGACCCTCCTGCCACCCGCGTGGCAGCACCCACCACCCCTCCCCGGCACAGCCCCACGGCCATGGCTGTGCTGGACCCCCCACCCCGGGGGGCTGCCCGGCCACGGCACCGGCTGCCAGCAGGTGCCGGGACCAGGCAGAGCGGGAGAGCGGCGGTACCGGTACCTTCTCCTCCTGGCTCTGCCCCGCGGCGCGGGCGGTGTCACTGTCAAGGCACAGGCAGGTGCCGCAGAGGGAGATGCCGGGCATGGGTCCTGCTCCGGCCCGGGGAGGGGCGGCGGGGGGGCCCGGCAACTCCTGGAGCAGCTGCAGGAGCGACGCCAGCATCCTCACGGCCGCCCGCAGGGCCAGGCCAAGCCCATGGTGTGCCGGCGGCACTCACCCCCCGCCGCCTGCCCACCGGTGGCACCGGGGACACGGCCCCCC